ACTTCCCTTTGACACTGGAAGATGTCCAGCAGTGCCATCAGCACAGATTTGGCAGAAAGTACACCTTTCTACTGCCAGGGGAAGTCTGGCCAGAAGTAGCCTTCATGCAGCCAAAAAGCCATACCTCTGAGCTGGAAACAAGGCTAAGAGACTCAATTATGCAAGAAAAGATAGGAACTGCGGTGCAGAAAAATGGCAGTAGGAACTCTGGACTAATGAGTCCAAATTTGAAATATTTGACTGTAGCAGGAAGCAGTTTGTTTGCCGAAGGGATGGAGAGCGGTACAATAATGAGTGTCTGCAGGCAACAGTGAAGCACGATGGAGGCTCCTTACATGTGTGGGGGTGCATTTCTGCAAATAGAGTTGGAAATTTGGTCAGGGTCAATGGTATCCCCAGTGATGGGAAAGACAGGCAGATACTTATCCGTCATGCCATACTATCAGAGAGCATATGATTGACCCCAAATTTACTCTGCAGTAGGACAATGGCCCCAAACACACAGCCAATGTCATTAAGAACTATTTTCAGGGTAAAGAAGAACAACAAGATGTCCTGGAAATGATGGCTTGGTCCCCACAGAGCCCTGATCTCAACATCATTGAGTCTGTTTGGAATTACATGAGGAGGCAGAGGATTCGAGGCAGCCTAAGATCTGTGGTGAGTTCTCCAAGATGTTTGGAACAACCTTGAAGCAACCTTGCGGAATCCCTTCAAAAGCAAATGCAAAAGATCCATATTTGGGGAGAAAAATATCAAAGGCAACATGATAGGATGGGAGGACCTCAGCAGACAGGAGTAATGTGAAAAAGATCTGGATGTTTTGATATATCACAAGCTGAACATGAGCCAACAGTGTGATGCGGCTGCAAACAAAAAGTACATGGCATTCTAGATGCATCAACGCATGTATACTGTCAAGATTATACTGAGCAGGAAACACATCACTGTAACAATGGGATGTTTGAAACTACCCTGACTTCAATGGGAAATAAACTCTGCAGGGAATGGAAGATAGAACAGGTTCCTGATACAACAGGTAGAGGGAACTAGAGGTCAACTGTACTGGACTTAATTCTTACTTAGGGATGAAATGATGGAGAGGGTAAAAGTGATAGGAATTTTGGGGGAGAGTAATCATATCATACAAGAATTTCCCATAATGCAGGCATAGGGACAGGACACAGACTAGACTTTAAAAGAGTTGACTTCAACAAACTCAGAGAGCGATTAGGAAGATTCCAAGGGTGGAAATTCTAGAAGGAAGACAGTTCAACATGCTTGGGAAACCCTGATAAATGAAACCCTGAAGACCCAAACAAGAACACTGTCGTGGAGCAAGAGAAATAAGAAACTCCACGGTTGCACAAAGAGCTCCTTTGATGACAAGATCCAGCTGAATGCAGTTCCTTTTTGGAAGGTTCTATAGGGGAATCTGGAGGAGGGGAAAAGGGGGAAACAGCCACAGACATGGGAGGACGCAATCACGCAAAGGGTATGACTCGCACATACTTGCATAAGATGCCCTGATCGTGTAAATCATCCCTTTTGGGCATCATCACCGTTAGCTGAGATGTTGCAACTTCTCATCAAATGTTCCTTCCTGCCATCTTCTCTTTGCAGTGAGACCATCCTCTCTTTTGTCTTCCTTAATCACCTGTCCCAAAAAAGGCTCCTTCAGCAGGATTCAGTGGGAAATACGAATGTGAAAACATCCATAATGAACCCAAAGATTCTGGTACTTGTGTTTGACAGGCAAAATAAGAGGGAATGATTTCAAAATGCATTTAAAGATTTTTTAACAGAAATAAAACCTACCACCATAGTCAGGAGGGTGGACTAGAAGACCTCCAGGATCCCTTCCAATTTTATTATTCTTTGTTCTATATTCTAAAATAGTTTTCAAAAGTGGAGGAGACCCTCAGAATGAAAGAGGTGGGAAGTTCAAAGAACAGAAAGGACATGAAGGAAGGATGGGGACAGAAAGGTGTGGAGAACTGGGACTCAGTTTCCAGGCTCGCTCATGAGTCCAGAAATACAGAATAAGAGTTAGCAAAGTTTAAAAGAAATTCCTCGCAGGATATTCTAGATTTAGCAAGCAAGAAATACATTCTATTTTAAAAATTAATTATGTCTACAGAAAGGAGCTGGTGTGCAAGTAATACAATTTTAGGAGTTTTGTTTCTCATGGCTCATAAGTTAGGTCTATAATAGAAACTTAAGACTCCTCCTTTGGTTGTGGTTTCACATTTTTGTACCATATATGGTCCTCCCAAAAAAGCAGAACCAAGATCTTTAAGCCAACTCCCAAAGGACTCCTAGCACAGCAGCCTCCGAAAACTGTTTTCACATTGACTATTGGCGGCATTCCAAGGCAAGATGTGTTTCTCCAACATTATTTATAACTAACCCAAGTTCCTTCTTTTATTGTCTCTTGTGAATGGTGTATGATAAAAGTCTGCAAAATAAAGTGCTTTTTAGAGATATACTCTTATTTTGTCTTATACAGGTAGTGTATAAAACGGTGCATAATTGTGTATAAAATAGAGATAAACTAAACTTGCAAACCATTTAAAAGAGACAGTAAAGAAGCTCAGAAAGAAAGGAAAAGATGTATCAGAATATCTCCTCCTCAGCAGCCAACACCTAAATAAGCAGAGCACCGAATCAAGGAACAACCCAAGGAGAAAATCCCACGGACACGGGGGGGGGGGGGGGGGGGTATTGGCTGCATGTAAACAGGAAGCCCCCCCCCCACCCCCCTCCCCCCTCCCTTGCACTGAGGTTGCTACCTAGTCCTCTAATGAAACATCTGCCAGCGAGCACCTCAGAGAGCGTCAAGGGCTCCACAGTTCAGCCTTGAGATGCACAGGTTCTTTTTTCGGGAAGTGATAGATGAGCCTAAGTGCTATTGCTAAGGGCTGCTGCTATTGTGGGTGCGTTTAGTCCTTTTATCCACAAGCCAGACATGTGGAAGCCTAAGAAACGGGGAGAAAACTGTAGAGCTGAACCTCCTGAAACCAACTCTTCTAAAACAAGAGGATGCCAATGGATTCCAGATGATCCCATCCCAGCCCGAGTTCCTGGCTCCTTGCCCAGGCAGTCTTCCAGCCAGAACCCCGTTGAGTCCAATTAGCCTGTAAGCACCAGTTCCGCAGTTGTTTTTACAGCAACACAATCATCCAACTGGTGTGGGGGGAAAAAACAGGGTGTTGCTCCTTCATGGCTGAGAAAGGTGGGTCTCAAATGAAGTAAATTTATAGATTTTACCCTTTGCCCTCCACCAGTTCTGTGCTGAGACAGAAGATGTGGCTCCTTCGGGTCAAATAAAATGATCTTTATTCTAAAGGGGAGAGGGAACATGCAGCCAAACTGCATTCGTAGTAAGGGGGCTAGATCGAAATTCACGTGAAAATATTTACTCTTGACACTTTCTAACTACGGGATTTTAAGTTCACTACACATGAAGTTATTCCAGCTAGGGGAAAAAAAAGCAAAATATGAAAATGATCCAACTGCCAGGATCTTCCCGGCATTCAGTTTAACTTGGATGGTGGCCTGTAGCCTGTATTTAGAAGCCTTGTTTATATTTGTGAGGGTCATTCTTCATTGTTTTATTGTGTAGCTTTGGCTGGAAGGATCTTTTAGGAAGGTGGGTGCCAAGTCCCCCACCAATGTGATCTGGGTTTGCTATCCAGTAATACTTATAATGCCAATGAGATGCTTCTTTGCAAAGTATCCAAAAAATGTTGCTGTAAGCTGTATATTAATGTGGAAATGGCATAGGAGCTTGCCTCATCCTGTGGCATTTTAATTGAGTTGAAAGTCATAATCTTGTGTTCTGAAGTTCTGCTCTGTTGTAAAAAAAACATGCAAGCCTACACTTGCCGTTTGTATGAAACCTCCCACCAGTCCACAAAGCGATCTTGACTATGTGTCAGAATGGTTGTGTAACTGGCAACTCCAAATTTCAACTAATCAAGGCTCTGTCCTCCACACTGGCAATAAAAATCAGAACACCAAATACAAGTTGGGCGGAAGGACCCGGAAGTCCTCATCTCAAATGATCTAAGCCCCAGAGCTCACTTTAACAGCGTTGCCCAAAAGGCATTAAGAGGTGTTAACCTTATTTTGAGAAGCTTCTCTTCTCTGGTAACATTGAATTGCTAACCAGAGCATACAAACCTTTGCCAGACCAATTCTCGAATACAGCACGCCTGCCTGGAACCCGCACTGCATATCGGACATTAACACGACTGAGAAGGTTCAGAGGAATTTCTGGAGAAGAGCTCCTCTACTCGCAGTAGAATTCCCTCGGCCACCAGGCTTGAAATTTTGGCTTTGGACAATCTGGAACGGCGCCACCTGTGGTCCGATCTAAGCACAGTACACAAAATTGTCTGCTACACTGTCTTGCCTGTCAAAGACTTCTTCAGCTTCAACCACAATAATACACAAACAATCGATACAAACTCATGGCAAACGGCTCCAAACTCGATTGCAGAACATACGACTTCGGCAACAGAGTGGTCAGTGTCTGGAGTTCCTTTGTTACAGCCTCAACCCCTCACAGTCTACCGTGGACCTCACCCCATTCCCAAAGGGGGCGCGCATAAGTGCACCAGCGTGCCTACCGCCCGTGTCTTACTGTCCCCATTTATCTGCGTTTGCTCCCTTTGTTTATGTTCATACCAATACTTGTTGTCTTGTACATGTTTGACAAACCAATAAAATCACGGCAGGCCAGGGGCTTCCCCGTTTGCCTGGCTGGAAGGCCTTATGCAGGAGCCCAGGAGGCCCAATGGCTCTCAGCCACCATCACTGCCATCCAGTGATGGTGGCCGAGGGAGTTCCCGTAATGAGGGAATCCTGGAGTATCCCTAGAGGTGCGTCTTGGGAGGGAGGGAGGGAGGGAGGGAGGGCGGGCGGAGGGGGAGATTTAGCAATAGGCCACTTCATGTTTCCTGATAGTCATCCTTTCCCCAAAGCCACAACTCGAGTGCCCAAACCAGTTGAGCCAGCCCAAGGCTTCACCCGCAAGGCATTCCTTGCCAGGAGCATTTGGGACCGAAGGACGGAGGGGAGGCAGATGGGACCGTCTCCTCCATCAGGCAAGTCCCGTTGGCCCTCTGACTGAGGTCTGCGGAGGCTCAGGTGGGAATTCGGCTGTCAGACTTCCTGTTTTGAAAATGTACTATTGGGGGGGAGTAGATGACGGGAGGGGGGGGCCTCCAAAGGGAAGCGCAGTCAGTTTAGCAGCTGCTGGGAGAGACCTCTGCCATCTTCCGCAGGGCTGAGCTCCGGGCACCTCACCAAGGGCGGGGGAGGGGGCTTGCTCTGGGCTTAGGATGGGTTGGCGGGTGAAGGCAGCGGAGCACAACTGGCTCCAGCAGCCACGGTTTTGCGGGATGAAGGTGCCATCTTCTGCAAGGAGTGGCAGGCAGCCGCTCAGTTTTACTCCGCAGCCAGTGTGCCCTGAGGGAAGAGCCCTCTCCGGAGCCCATAAAACGGTCAGGCAGCGCAGCAATTCCCAGCGTTGCTGGGCAACTGACTCTTCCCATCGTCCCTCACCTTGGGGACACAGCAGGGTGGCCTTTGTCCATCTGTTCCCAGGGGCCAGGCTGTGCCAGGCAGGGAGATGGCAGTGCCAACTCAGAGGGGGAGGAACTGGGCAACCAATAGGCCTTTACCAGCCTCTGCTGGCCTTCTGTTCCACCTGAAGGCACAGGGAGGCTGGGCAGCTGCTCTCCAGCGTGTGCAGCCACTTCTCACGAGAAGATGCCCAGAACAGCCTGTTGGGGGGGGGGGGGCGTTGTGTGGGGCTGCCTTCTGGGTGCAACTTGCACAGTGTGTTTGAATTCCAGGTTCCGGCTCCTGGTGCTCAGCGAGGGGTGGGGTGGGGGTTAATATGTGGAGCGTCCTCTTTTAGGATTGGGCCCTTGAACCACTAGGAACCCCAGCCTTTCCCGCTCCCCGCTGGCAAGCAGGCAGGCAGGCAGGCAGGCAGAGGTCGGGCCCCACTTCCACTTCCAGCAGCCTTGGCTCCTGCTCTCCTTGGGCCCCGAAGGCTGGGCCCGAGCAGGCGCCTCTCCTGCAGCTCAGAGCCTCAGCTCAGCCGGAGGTGGCCGCCTCCAAATCGTACCCGGGCTTTGCCTCTGCACGAGATCGCAGGGGAAGGAGGCTCCGGTCGAGATCCCTTGGGATCCGGGATCAGGCTCGGCTCGCTGACCGCTGCTGGCCCTTCAGGGGGAGGCCGCTCCCCGGTGCCCGTCCGGAAGGGGTCTCGGCGGGGGAGACAAGCCGCCCACTGGGCCTCTCGAGCTGCTACGGGCTGGCGGGGCAGAGGCGCCCGCGTTCAACCCCGTCCGGCCCGAGTCGCTCTTTGCGGCCGTCCAGGCGGGGAGCGAGGCCTCTTCCGCGCGGCGTCCCTGGCAAGCGGCCGACCGGTCTCCCTCCCAAGGGCCGCGGGGCGCCCGCAGATGCTTTCCAGATGTGGCGGCCTGGCCGCCGACGGGGAGGCGGGCCCACTCTGGCTCGGCAACGTCCGGCCGGGCCGGAGTCCCGCCAGAGGCCCGCCCGCCCCGCGAGGTGACGCAGCAGCCGGCCACGCTCGGGCCCCTCACGCCGAGCCCCCAGCCGGCCGCCCCCCCGCCCGAGGGACGCCCAGGCCCCGTCCGGCTTGCCAGCGAGCCTCTCCGGGCCCCCGTCGGAGCGCAGGCCGGCCATGGGCCGAGCAGGTGAGTGGGCGCGCGCGGCCGGCCGAAGGGGGCGCGGGAGGGCTGGGCCGGGCCCGTCGGGCGCCTCCTCGGGCGCGCAGGGCCAGCCGGATCCCGGCGTCGCGGGCGGTCCGAGCGGCCTCCGCCGCCGCCGCCGCCCCTCTGGGCCCCTCCGGTGGGCGCGGCCGAGGAGGAGCGGGCGACGCTCGGCCGGGAGGGCCCCGCGTGGCTGTGCCCGGCGGCTGCGGGGGGAGGGCGGCGCCCCTCCCCCGAATGCGAGGGGGGCCGGGCCAGCACCCCCGCCGCCCCCCCCCCCCCCCCCCCCCCCGCGCGCTCTGCTTATCCACTGGGAAGGTCCGGCTGGCGGCTCTTCTTCGCCGGGGGCCCCTCGGGGCGGCTGGCAGGGAACGGCGCTGCCTCTTTCCGACCCGCCCGAGCGTTTCTCGAGGGCCGCTGCCGCCTCTCAGCTGCCTGCCCGGGTGCGCGTCTCCCCCGCGGCCACGTCTCTTTCCCGGAGCGCCTGCAGCTCCGCTCGCGAGCCTCGAGGGCTCTGCGGAGCGTGGCGGCTGGGGGCCCCCGGGACCCGCTGCTCCCTCCCAGGCCCCGAGGCTGCCGGGCTTCGGCTCTGCTCAGGACGGGGGTGAAGAAGGAGCCCCCAAGGCTGCCTTCTGGCTGGAGCCAGGCAGGGCTGAATCAAGGCCCGGGGCCAGGAAGGGGAGAGGAGGAGCCCCCGCAAGGGGAGGACGGGGCGCGAGTGGGGCCCCATTGGATGCTGTTCTTGAAAGGGAGAAATCCGCCCCCCTCTCGGCCCACCCATCGCCCCACGGAACTGCGGGGGGAGGAAGCAGAGGAGGCCCTGGAGCTTTGTCCTTTGGTGGATCACCCTCTCACCCACCCGCCTGGTCCTTGTTATCACAACGTGTTCCTTTCCTAATCTCCCCCCCGAATCATTCTCACCAAACCGATAATGCCCAGAGCTAATTTCTGTTCTGCTCATGCCAACAGCATTGCATAAACTGATAAGAAGCTCACTTCAAAAGGTACTTTGCTCACCAGCACACCGAAGCCCTGATAAAAGCGGCCATAAAAATAAATTATTTTCTGAAGGAAATTGGCTGAGGCAAGGGGGGGGGGAGAGAGAAGGGTGTGTGTGTGTGTGTGTGTGTGTGTGTGTGTGTGTGTGTGTCTGATGAAGACACTTTGGGCCAGTCACTCGCTCGCAGCCCGAGGAAGCAGTCAATGACACCCCTTCTGAGAAACCTCACCAAGAACCACCAGGCAGCTTCTGAGAATCAGACATGACTGAATGGAAGAAAAATGCAGGCGGCTTTAATGAGAACTAGCTTGACGTCCTGGTTAGGCAACAGGCTAGAAATTGGGAAACTGAGTTCTAGTCCTGAGGCCCAAAGCCAGTCCACAATCTCCCAGCCCTGGAAAGCAGGCAACGGACAGCCAAAAACTTTGCCAAGAAACTGCAGGAACCGGTTCAGGTGGCCACCCGGAGTTGAGACTGACTCAAAGACAGACGGGCAAAAGGAAGGAAGGAAGGAAAAGAAAGAAAAAGAAAGAAAGGAAGGAAGGAAGGAAGGAAGGAAGGAAGGAAGGAAGGAAGGAAGGAAGGAAGATCCACCCAGGGAGAGTTCCCTTCAAGGAGGCCTAATAGGTCTCCTCAGGAGCTTCAGATCGGTGCAGGCGGCTCTCCCCAGTGCTGCCATGGGCATCATCCTGATCTCTGGCATCCTTACTTGGGCACCGCATGAGGGAAGTGGCTCTTTCCAGACAGAAAGTCAGGACTCGTTCTCTGCCTCTGAGGTCGACTGGGGGCCTCAGAGAAACAGCAGCTGCTGCTGCCTGGAAAAGGGCCCCTTCTCTGGCTTCAAGTTGGCACCTGCTCTTTCTGCCCCTCTGCCCTGCCTGCCCACCCCCCCCGCATGGTGCCAACCAAACTCCTGGCAGGGGTCAGCCTTTCGCAGTCGGGAAGAAAGGCAGGGGGTCCCCATTGGGCTGCATCGGGGCTTCTCTGGAAAGGGCACCTTGGGGAGGTTGGCAGTGGTCTGAGAAGTTGCCAGGAGGAGCTGGGCAGGGCTCTGAAGCTCCGGGCCCAAAGAGGAAGCCACGTGGCTCCCCTTCCTCCGAGAAACCCACCCTGGGAGATGCAGTCAAGGGAAGCAAACGAAAGAGCTGCTTCCAAGCAGCGGAAGCCTTCCCGGGTCGTTTGCTGCATTTCTGCTGAATGAACGGACAACCCATTTCAAACTTATAGAAACATTAAGGCTGGGAGGGAAAAAGAACATGGAAAACAAACACTGCACCTGGCTTCTTTTTTTCCAATATCCTCTGCTACTTGTTAGGCTAATGGAATAAGAGAGTTGGAAGGGGCCTTACAGGTTGTCTAGGCCGACCCCTCGTATCATTTCAGACAAATCCTTGTTCAATTATACTTCCTTTTCTGGTATTATAAATATGGCTAGTTTCGCTCCAGCAAGAGGAGGAAAGGCATATTTGATTGTCTGCTTGCGGCACAAAGATTGTCTTTCCCTGTGGCTGAGATCACATTTCATAGTTTCAGCTGCCACTTTGCGGATTAAAATTGCCCGAAGGGAGCCGAGGTGTTTGCTCGCCTCGCCCATCCGGAAGAGTCCTGCACACCAGGGAGAGCAGCCAAGTGAGGGCTGGTGTGTGTGTGTGTGTGTGTGAAAGGGGATTCTTTGCAGGCAGGGGAGGGTGAATGGCCTGGAAGGAGAGCAGGAATTGCTGGCAAGGGAAGGGCATTCACCTTGGGCTGCCTTTCCTGCCAGGAGCAATTTCCCAGGGGAAACCCTCCACTGCTCTCTGCTCAAGGCCCAAGGAGGGGCCCAAGGGCAGCAGCTCCTTTGCTAACCCTCGGGGCCACCTGTGACCTCTCAGAAGAGCCGATTCGGAGCCCAGCCTGGCCCAGCACCAGGAGCTGAGCTGGGACCAACACGAGGGATTTCTCGGAGCTCAGGACACACTTCCTGGCTTCCTCTTCTGGCTTCTGCAAGGAGGTTCGAGTCAGAAAGGTCTCGGTGGCTTCCGCCACACTTTCCTCTGAAAGCCCTGAAAGGGCTTTGGGAGCGTTCGATGTGTTTCCGGCCGTGGATGAAGCAACGCGCATAACCTGGGAATGGAAGGGAGCCGTTCATAGCAGCCCACCCATGGCTTCCCTTCTCTGGGGGAGGAAGAACGGGAGGGGCCACCCAGGGAAGCGTGCAGTGCAAGCTGTGCTGAGCAGGGACCGATGCAAAGAGACCTGCGCAGCACCCTTCTCTCTCGTGGCCCCCATGGACCCCCCCCGAGAGGACTGAGTCTTGCCCCCTTCTCTCGGGGCCTAGCTAGTGCCTGGTTGATGGAGCCCGGGGGCGTTGGCCTCGCCTGCTGCAGCAGCAGTATCCCAGCAGCTGTTGAATCAGACACAAAGAGTTGCTGTGGGTTGTTTTTGAAGATGTACTTGAGCTGTGGACCCCCAAAGCGTAGTTCCCCGTGGGACTCCGGAGCAGGTACAGAGATCTGATATACTTGTGCATATCACTTAAACGGCAACTTTACAGCGCCCTTAGAATAATTTCCAGGACCAGCCCTTGCATTCTTGCCAAGTCTAATTATAATTCTTCACTTATCTCTGTCCACAGTTCACAGTGGCTATTTCAGCTCCGTCAGAATCATAGGGCAGTACTGAATATCTGGACTGTTGAACTTAAGGAAATGCGCACAGCATAAGTAGTACAGACACAGACACAGAACTAGTTGGAGCAGCAAATCCCTACATGACCGGCATCCCCAAGGAAAACCTTCCACCGTAGTGTGCACAAAGGGTTGCAGCCCCGACACTGTCTCTTGCAGTACACACTCCGAGGTAGCTGTTCCGTGTCACAAGAAATTAAGATGCTGCATTGCACATTGCTGGCATCGAAGTGCCTTACTAGTGCAACGCGATTTCAGAAACACAGTTCTTAGCCAAGAGGACATTTCCTTCTGCTAGGCACAGGGACCATGCAAGACAGAACAGTCCTGCATCTGTGGGAAACTCAACGGGGCACGGAAATCTTTATGGATCCTGGCAATGGGCAATATCCCTATTCTGTGCACGCTTGAAATATTTTGGGGTTTTTGGAGTGTAAATGCCCGCAGATTTCAAATTATTGTGATTGCAAAGTATGAATGCAAATGTTTCCCTGCTGGATAGAAGATGGTGTCCCTTCTGTTTCAGAGAGGTTGAAGAAGGAGAAGAAACATACGAACGATGCTGTTAGAAAATGGGAATTATCTACAAATTGGTTATGTGACTTCTACAAAACTTAATTTGTATTTGCCCTCCAGATTCAGCTATTTATTTATCACCCTTGAATAGCTGCATTCATCCCAGGATTAAAAGAGAAGAAGGCAGCCTCATGTCTTCGCTCTCCTCCCTCCGGCCTCTGGCTCTCTGCTCCAAAGGGCTCTTCCCCTTCAGCCCCTGGTCTTCCCCGCCTTGGATTCAAGCACTCAAACAGCACAGAAGACCCGGTTCCAGACCTCTTTCGGTGCCTTGGTTTTTAAACAGTGTGTGCAGCCTTCAAGAGACGGGCAGTACATTCTCTCGACGTTGCTTTTTTCTGAGAGAGTCACTGCAGCTCACCATTCCCTTCTCCTGTCCACTGTTTTCTCACTCTGCTTTGCAGAATATCAGAGGCACCCTGGGCCCCAGGCCTATTTTTGGCCAGCAGGAGGTGTCCGTCCTGTCTCCCCCCAGGTCCCCCGCCCGCCGGCCCAAAAAGAAGAACTACAATATTGATCCGGCCCTGGAGGAAATCCAGTTTGACACACCTGTGTTGTAGGTCCTCTAGTCCAACCCCCACCAAGTAGGACACACCCTTGGCAGTCTAATCTCTTCTTGGAAGCTTCCAGTGATGGAGCTCCCACGAGTTGTTGAGTTGTTTTCCCCTTTAGGATTTTCATCCAAGGAATCTTTCCCAAGTTCTCTCTGAGTTTGTTAAAATCAACTCTTTTAAAATCTAGGACTTTGCTATCGTTTATGTTCTGTTGCTTGTGTTTTCATTAGGCAGAATTCTAGCATGACATGGTCATACTAACAAGGTTCCTGCGGTTTCAGTTCCCTCTATCATGTCTTCTCTGTTTGTAAGACTTAAGTCCAGTGTGGCTGTCCCTCTAGTTCCCTCCTCTACCGTTTGGACAACCAAGTTGTCAACTAGGTTGGTTAGGAACCTATTCGATTTCTCACGTGGTGAGGAATTAGTCTTCTAATTGATGTCAGGGTAATTGAAGTCCCCCATTACTGTTGTGGTGTGTTTCTTATATATAGTTGATTGGCAAAAAATACAGCTATTTCTTCTGCTTGGTTGGGTGGCCTGTAATATACATTCCTTTTTTCTTTTATATTGAGCCATATGCACCCTAGGAGGTTGTCGTGCATTTCTGTAGCAATGTCCTTTACCTACAGTGCAACTCCACCTTCTCTTTTACGGGGTCTGGGCTTTTTTGAACAATTTGTATCCTTCTATCAGTATGTTCCAGTCATGGGTTACATCCCACCAAGTTTCTTATTCCAACTATATCATATCTACCTTCATGTATTCATAGTTCAAGTTACCCTGTTTGTTCCCCAAACGTTGTGCCTTTGTATATAGGCACTTGAGAGCTTTATGCCTGACTCTGGGGACGCTTCCTACGTCTCCTATTTGGTGTCTTCCTTCCCATCCCACCTTACCTCATTCTTTGGCTTGTTTTCTAGGGGTTTTTGCTTGGAATTAGGTCCTGGGGTTCCGAAAGATCGGTCTCTCTCCCCCCTCAGTTTTAGTTTAGAGCCCTCCTGATGAGTTGAGCCAGTCGTTTCCCAAAAACATCCTTCCCAGGCTTTGTGAGGTGCTGCCCATCCTTGCCAAAAGCCCATCGTGGAGGGAGTACCCGGAAACCAACGTTTTTTTGACGACCCCAATCCTTTAGCCGACGGTCCACTTGTAGAATCCTTTGTTCTCTTACCAGGTGTTGACCTTTCATTGGCAGCAGAGCACAACACAGCCTCCCTTTTCCGCTTAAACATCTTAGAGGTTTCAGTTTACAAGTTGCTTATCAAGCTTTTGATTGCTTTTTTTTAAAAAATGAACTCAAGTGAAACCAAGACATTCATTAGAACTCGTGTTCATCAGTGGACTTTGCTAAAATGAAATTTGGCCAGAGAAGAAGGTCTTGTGCTTGAAAAAGGTTTTATTTTTAGAGTGGATTAATGGAAGCGTGATTGAGCAGCTATTCCTCGAGTTACTCCTTCCTCACACTTTATGAGATAAACTCAAAAGCCAGAGCAATTAATTAATAGGTTTGTGGCATATTTTATGGTTTAGATATCACCTGCCAGTGGTTATTGATGCTGTTGAAGGTCCAGCCTTTAATTACATCTTACTCGGAAAGAACTAAGGCCTTGGACTATGGCAAGCTTCTTCCCATCAGCAGCCCTGTGGATGCGCACTGGAAAGTCCCCAGGGTGTGCATCTGTATGTGTGATCTAGAAGGAGTTGCAACCTGTTCTGTGGGTTTGGGACCAGGTGGAGCCTTCCAGTTCAGTCTGTAAAAATATTGCTTTCTTGCTTAAGCTCGATAGTCTCTTGCAGAAGGAAAGCAATCTGAGTTACGTAAGAGCTGCTCCGATCAAAAATAATCCCAATAACAATACTATGATTACTCCTATTATTACTGAGAATAAGAATGAAGAACCGGGCATGTGAACAGTTGCCTCCAATGTTTCGGTTCAGTTAGAAGAAGCGATTGCAGGGCTGAGAACTGCTCACAGCCGAGGGGTCTCTGGGGGCGGCTGCTTGCTCACTTTGCACCTGGGCTGCTCAAGGCTTCCGGGCAGGCCTGGGTCTCCCTGCGCTGAAATTGCCGGGCTAAGCGGGGGCTGACGCCTGGCGGGACAGGCCAGCCGTCAGGAGTGGGGAACAAACTCTCTTGGGGGGGGGGCACAGGGTGGCAGGGGGACAAAGCGCCTGGTGCTGCTTCCACCCTGATGACACGAGATGTTCATGGAAGCCTGGTGATGGTTGTGAAGTCCATTGTTATTTATTTTATACAATTATGTTCAGCGTATTTATTGGGTTCCAATAATTGGACACCTTTTTCTGGGTTCTACTGTTCTTGACTGGTGTGAGCACTTATCAAAATTTCAGGATGTCATGGACTCACAGAACAAAGGTCTGTCTGAGTAGCTGCCCCGTGGATTGGGGGCTTGGACTGCTCCTGAGGTTGCCGAGAAAGGGCGCTTCTGAACTTGGCTCCGGGGGTGCCCCACGCCTGCCGGGAAGCAGCGAGTGCGGTGCGGGGCGTGTGTGCATGAATCGCAGCACGTGAGAAGACACGGGGTTCTTCTACGTGACTCTGACTGTTTCCCGGGAACCCTAAGGGTGGCTGCTCACACAACCCAGTTAGTGCAGGAAAGGCCCCCCCACCCCCCCACCCACACAGACCAGTAGCTTCTGGAGGAGGCCCCCTCCTTGTGCTGAGGCTCTGTGGGCAGCTGACGGAGAAATCCCAGCGGGCCCTTTGATATGGGACGCTGGCCAATCTCTCCCGGGTCCTTTTCAGGCAGAAAGACACATATACACCTAGGGTGGAACTGCCTGGCCCTGTCTGTTCATCTGCATTCAGTATCAGTCAGTCTAGAGCTGGAAGGGACCTCGGAGGTCATCTAGTCCACCACCACCCCGCCCAAGCGGGAGACCCTACACCATTTCTGACTGATGGGAGCCCAATCTCTTCTTGAAAGTCTTGAGTGATGGTGCTCCCACAACTTCCATGGGTTGAAGAAAGTTCCTCCTTATTTCCAGGTTGAATCTCTCCTTGTTCAAGTTTCCGTCCATTGTTCCTTGTCTGGCCTTCAAAGATGCCTTGGAGAATAGCTTGACCCCTTCCTCCTCTCTGGGGCAGCCCCCCCTCAAATATTGGAAGCCTGCTCTCCTGTCTCCCCTGGTCCTTCTCTTCCCCAGACTAGCCAGGCCCAGTCCCCGTAAAGCAGGAGACCCTATACAATTGAAGACTCTTCAGGGGTCACTTAAAGGCTTAACTGGTTCTTGGTTCCTGGGCTGGGTGAAATATATAAATTTGTTGGCTGAGGAGAAACGGGCTGGATTCCCGCTCAAATCCCTCCACCAGAGGTTCTTGACCAGGTGCTGCCTGGCCTCCTCCTCCTCCTCTCCTCATGCCATGACCTCAGCCCCCTGCCCAGAACCTGCCTGCCTGATTCTCTGGGGTCTCTGCTTAGTCCTCACAGTCCTCAGCCCTTATTTGGAGGCGATCTTCTCCTTTCCCAGGTAAGCCATCCTTAGTTCACCTGCAGACTTCTGGCTTCTCTTCCTCTTTGGAATTCCACAGGCAGCTCCCGTTTGCTCCGCCTGTTTCTGTGTCCTGAAGGCAGAATCCACACTCAGAGTCATCCTGAGAGAAACCAGCTGGAAATGGCAGGAAGGTACTTGCTAAGCAAAATGATGCCAGGAAAAGGAAATCGCCTGCCCAGAAGGAGCCCCACACAGCAACGGCACAGGGAGCCCTTACTTAATGACTTAGGGACTCACAGTCCCTAAAGAACAGCTCCGTCCAGCTTCCTTATGGCCAGGTCACATGACTGCACTTCAGGCACTTGGCTCACTTTTATTTCAGGTTGCACCTTTCCATAATCCCATGACTGGGACTTAATGACTTTTTTCCAGACATTGACACTGATGTCTTACAAAAAAAAAAAAAAAACACCCATAAGAATGACTTGCTTTATAGCCACAACACTCACTTAATGACTGTTGCAAAATCAGGCTGGTGATGTGGGTGCTTTGGCCTTGTGATTTATGATGGAAATTCTGGGCTCCATTAACAGTTGTAAGTGGAGCACCCCATGTCCTTGTGAAAAAGTTCTAGGCGTGGGAACTGACCTCAAACTGAATTTGCAATGTGGCTGCAAAAATAGGCAAATGCAACCTGAGTTTGTTTTCAGTAGATTTATTGATGTGCTGGGTTCCTGCCAGGCTGCATTTCGGGTGCCTGTTTACAATAGTAACACAGAAGACAATAATCAATAAAACCTCACCAGTACAACCAATTTCATAGTGGCACGGGTTGGGCTTCCCATGCACATGGGTGGCCAGATGGCACAGAGCGCTTGGTTTTTGCTGCTTCTGGAATGAGGTTGGTCCAATTCACGGGATGATCCCGTGGGGGGCTGTGGGGAGGGGGGTGCGAAGCAAGGACCAAAGCTCTCAGGGCCCAAAACTGAGAGGGATCCTGGCTGGCATAAACCCCGGGCAGGGCAGTAGTACGGGGACGATTCCTGGCTGGGCTGACCTGCCCCCCTGCCATCTGTAGGCTCCTCCTGGAATCTGTCAGCTGCCTCCCCCTCCCCCCCCCATTTCCCCAATGGCCACATGAGTTGATCCCAGCCCCTCCCCGGCTTCAAACTTGCTGTATCAAATTCAACCAGAAGACTCCTAGGAACCTGTTCAGGAGAGCTTGACCCGAGAGACCGTGAATTTGTTTTCATTTATTGGGGATCTCCACCTCATCCAGCCCTCATCCGTTTTGCAGGACCACTTCTACAAGACAGGCAGCCGAGAGGAAGCAGAGCTGCTTAACTCGTTCGTTGCATCAGCCTGGAAATAAGAGAAACTTTCTGACTGGGAGAGCCATCAACCCACGGAACAGAAGTTGCCTTTGGAAGTTGTGGGAGATTCATCACTGGAGGCTTTCAAGAAGAGACTGGACCGCCATCGGTCAGAAAAGGTGTAGTAAGTTCTCCTGCTTAGGCGGGGGAGGGTTGGACTAGATGACCTACAAGGTCCCTTCCAACTCTGTTAATCTGTATCTAAGACACCCTCCATTTACGTGATCAAGGGAGAGCTATCTGTTGAACTTGACCTGCTAAGCAGGCGGCCCCCATGCGAGGAGGAGGCCCTTCTGTCTTTAAGGCACCACAATCTTTTCTCTTTGTTCTGGAGTACTGAAAGATGAGTGGATGAAAAGCGGATCAAGTTTTGTTCCTTGATGTTACAGAATAGAACAGAATAGAAATATCACAAAAATGCAGTATCCGAAGTGTGGTGCGTGGCTATAATATTCGGGCCCCTAACCTCAGAGAGTTCCTGAAGGAAGGCGAGCAGAGAGCAGAGACCTCTTCTCCAGCTGTAAGGTCCCCCCCTCTGGGCAGCTTCAAAGAAGGTCAGGGAAGATGCTGAGAAAAGAGGGGAGGGTGGGACAGTCCAGCCAGGAGGCAAAGGGCAGCCCCTTCCCACTCCCTGCAAGGCGGGCGCCTCCCTTTCCAGAAGACCCAGGAGGCTGAACAAGCAGAATGGAATGACGGCGTTGGAAGGAGCCCAGTGCAGGCTTTTCACAGATGCTCTCCCCTTCCTGCATGAGAGTTTGGTGGGTTGAAGTCTGTGCTGCCTCAAGCATACAAGTCACTCTAGGCAACAGAGCACATAAGAACAACAGAAACAAGGGCAGAAAATAAGAAGAACAAGAACAACAAATATGAATATATATTACTGTGTCAGAGAAAGAAACACAAACAGGAGTGGAATGGAGTCCCAGTATCACTGCGGAGTCATAGAGCAATTCTGCCTTGTTGACAGACCTACATTTGAAGGGCTTTCCTAAACGAAACTGCTTTGGGGCCCTGGAGGCTCCGGGGGGGGGGGGCACTTCTCCCGCAGGGCAGCTGCAACCACCAGAATGCAGATCTCGCAATCCCACAAAATGATGTGCACTGTGCCAGACTGAACAGGACAGGCCAACATAACTGCAGAGGAGCAATCCTTCATGTAAATGGGTTTGAGGCAAAAAAAAAAAACTCTTTGAAGGGGATTAGCACCCAAAAGCTTACTAGCAGCCAGCGTAGCTTACAGAGCAGTGTTGTTCTCCAGGTCAAGCAAGAGCCACCCAGAACTGCCGCCAGATTCTGGACCTTGTGTACTTCTGAACTCGTCCCTGTAGGGTGCATTGCAATAGGCCAACCATGAATAGCCATGAGTAGCACCCCCCAAATCAGGGAAGTGTGTCATTAGTGCACAGTCTGGCCATATATGCCACCTACTCTTCAGCCAAGACTTTGAGATGAGCCCCAAATCACATGTCTGTTGCATCTGGGGGAAGTAGAAGTCCATCAAGAAGAGAAGTTGAAAGATCCCCCAAAATGGAGGGCCTGGAAATCCGTCCACAGCCACTCAAGCGACGTTCGGCCTGAGCTTGTGCTGTTCCATCCAGAGGTCACAGCCTCCAGTCCCCAAGACAGAAGCTCAACTGCAGACACGCAACAGGGCATCCTCTGCATGTGGATGATACCTGATCCCAGGCCAGTGAATAACCTCACCCAGAAACCTCACGTAGATGTCGTAGGGGACAACTTTGCTCTCATTTTCCAAATCTCTGCCTGCGTAAACATGTTGGTTAACTTGAATCAACCTGTTGTTTGTGATGAGCTCAGTCTCTTGTATCAAGTAAGCGGAAGGAAAACAGGTTGTCAGACAGGTTGTTATGCTGCTGAGGCGAAACAAAGCTTTCCTGCTGTTGACATGGCTTTTTTGGTGGTCCTAAGCTGCCATCCCTGCCACTGAGTCAGTACCTGAACCTCTGCCTGACCAAGGAGGACTCCAGGATGCAGACCTGGTCTTCTAACAGGAATGTCACAACTGGGCCCAAGAGACGACCAGCAGGTTTAGGACAAGGAGCAACTGTGTTCAGATTCCATGCAGGGGGGACGGGGGACACAGGTTCATTGTAGCAAACCGATTCAGAGCCAGCTGATCATCGGAACAAGGGGTTCGCCTGAACTGGTCCGAACTGGGAGAATCCCGCCCCTGCTCTCTTCTCTGTGAGAGCCCCTCAAGCACTGGAAAACTGCTATTGTATCACCCCCCACGAGCCCAGACAGACTGTGTGTTTTGGCCTCCAGGGTCTTTGTTATCTTTTTGGCTCTTCTCTGCCCTCTTTCCAGGGTCCCAACATCTTTTCTGTATCGTGGTGACCAGCTCTGGATGCAGCTTCCAAGTGGGGTCTCTCCAGCGCAGGATTATCTCTGCCGTATTGCGGAGTTTCTCTCTCACTTGATGTCTGAGGACTTTAAAAGTCCCCCATTTCTATTGTAGTATGTTTCCTGTGCACCTTAGCTAGATGATAAGCAAAGAAATCATCTCTCTGCTTGGCTGGGTTGCTTGTGGTACACACCCATGTCAGTGTTGTTTCCTTTTCCTTTGATTTTAACACAAATCCATTTAAGAAGGCTTTCATCCTTGGTTTGTTTTGGGGTGGGTTTTTTTTTTTTTGCATTTCTGTAGAGTAGTTATTTCTTACATATAACAGATTAACAGAGTTGAAAGGGACTGTGTAGGTCATCTAGTCCAACCTCCCACCCAAGCAAGAGACCCTACAGCATTTCTGGCAGATGGCTCTTCTTGAAAGCCTCCAGTGATGAAGCTCCCACAATCTCTGAAGGCAACTTCTGTTCCATGAGTTGATTGTTCTGCCAGAATTTTTTTCCTTATTTCTAGGTTGCACCTCTCCTTGACCAGTTTCCTTCCTTTATTCCTTGTCTGGCCTTGGGGTGCTTTGGCGAATAGCTTGACACCCCCCCCTCCTCTCTGTGGCAGCCCCTCCCTCAAATATTGCAAGACTGCTCTCCTGTCTCCCCTGGTCCTTCTCTTCCCTAGACTAGCCAGGCCCAGTTTCTGCAACCGTCCTTCATGTTTTATCCTCCAGACCCCTCGTCATCCTGGTTGCTCTTCTCTGCACGCTTTCCAGAGTCTCAACATCTTTTTTTACATCTCTTCTTTGTGGCAAGCCCTGAGACATTCGAAGACTGCTATCATGTCACCCCATCCTTCTTTTTCTTAAACTAGATATGTCTTCTGTCCATCCATGGTTTGCTCAGATGCCTTTCTTTCTTTCTTTCCTTTCCTTTTTCTCTCTCTCTCTCGTCTCCTTCCTTCCTTTCCTTTGCTATTTCCTTTGGAGAATAGCTCGATCCCTTTTTCCTCTCTCGGAAGGCTGCTATCCTGTCTCCCCTAGTCCTTCTCTTCCCTAGACTAGCCAGGCCCAGTTCCTGGTGGACATCGTATGTCTCCAGTCCCCTAATCATCCTGGTTGCACTCTTTCTAGAGTCTCAATATGTTTTTATAGAGTGGTGACCAAAACTGGATGCAGTATTTTAGGTGTGGCCTTACTAAGATTTTATTGAGTAGCATTAGTACCTCACTTGATCTTGATGGTATCCCTCTGTTAATGCAGCTTGTTAAATCTGTTTCTTCTGAAACATTTAAATCTCTCTAGCCGTAACATTCCAGTCATGGGTTTCATCCCATCAAGTTTTGGTAATAGTCTCTACGTGCCCTCCTCTAACTAGGCCTCGAAGGTCACCCTGTTTGTTTTTCATACTTCAAGTGTTGGTATTTAGGCGTTGGAGTCCTCTTTGAATGGCCCTACGTTTGCTTCCTGTTTCTTCTGTGTTGTACCTGAGGTCCCCTTCTTGTTCCAGCTCATCCCTTGCTAGGAACCTTCCCTCACACTCACACGTGTCACACAGATCATGCAGGGATTGAGAGTAGCTGCACAGCTTGGCCCTGTAGGGAACACTCAACCTCCCACCGCTGGTCAAAAATGACCCCTGTAATGCTTTACAGACACACACACACCCCAAAAAAGCCACAAAGTGGTCGGGTGTGAATCCTGACTTGATATTTAAAATGGCTTCAGAAGAGGTCATTTTTATTTATTTATTTTTATTTTTTTATTTATTTTGATTTGTCAATCGCTTACAAGATAATAGGTATAAGTAAAAACATAGTTATAAAAACATGGATACGTATAAGAAAAATAAAAAGAAACAATAGGACAGAGACGGTAGGCACGATAGGTGCGCTTATGCACCCCCCCCCCACAGTCCTCTTAGGAAAGGGGTGAGGTCAATAGTAGACAGTCTCAGGTTAAAGTTTTTGGGGTTTGGGGAAGAAACCACATTTATTGAAATGGAAATGTTTTTTGCTTCAGTTGTCGCTCTATCGGTGATTTGACGAGAATGGGGCAACCAAGGGAGGAAAACTACAGTTTGTGACCCCAGTTCAGGCTGACCTGGAATTCATGGAAGGGAGCGCAAAAAAAAGGTTTTACTTTCACAACCTTCTCCAAACTTCAAGGACACTGTAGAGCTACAGAGACCTTGCAGGAGGAGAGCCATGCTCGGGAGTGTGGGAACGGACTAGCACATTGGACTAACAGGCGTCCCTCCGTGGGGCTCGTTGCAGCCCTCTGGAGCAGTTGGCAACCGACCCCAATTGCGGCCTGCTGGCGGGGAGGCAATCTTAGCAGGGGGCTTGTTGTGGTGTCCTGGGTGCTCACAGGACTTGCAGAGGATTCCTTCCCCGGCCGGGTGGGAGGGAACGTGGGGTTTGCTCCCTGTTTCTGTGGGCTCTCTGAGTCCTGCCGATCAGAGGCTCAAGCCTTCGTAGGGAGGGCTTCCCCCCCCCTTCCAAGAGCATTTCCCCCCCCCCCCCCCCCCCCCCCCCCCGGCTGCTTTTCCTTCCTGTCCACATTCCGAAGCACCGTAAGGCTTGCCTCTCCCAAGTACTTGGGACAGGCCTTTGTGTGCTGTACGATTTCCTATTTTTGTTTGTTCCTTTGGCACAGAGTATATTGCAGCTTCATTTTTGTTTTCTTTGGATTGGGCTTTTTTGGTGGTTGTTTTAATGTACTGCTTTTAATCCTCTTGCTGGACGGGGTTTGTAAGCCACCCTGAATTGCCACAGATTAGAGGGGCATTTAAATCTTAGTAAATTCACACAGAGAAAGCCACTTCAGTGTAGTGGTTAAGGCACTAGGCTAGAAACCTGGAGATTGCGAGTTCTAGTCCTGCCTTGGGCGTGGAGCAGCTGGGCAACGTTAGGCCAGAAAGGACAGGACCCCCTCTGAAAATCTTGCCTTGCAGTTGCCGGGAGTCAAGATTGATTCAAAGCCCCCCAAACCAAGACAACGCCCCGCAACATACGGTACAGACAGGCTGCTGTTGAAGCAGCGTTGTCATCCTTCTTCTGACACAACCACAAGACCCTGAAGCCTCATGCGCTTCGCCCTCCAAAATGCTGGAGGTCATGGAAAGGGCTTCAGAAGGGCTTTGTGGTTTTTCGGATGGACGAAGAGGGGACCCTCCCCCCCAGGCTCTGGTCAGTCCCATTGGCCACCTCTCTGCTCATGCCTCCTCAAAACACCGGGAGAGCACATAAAATGTAACTCCAAGGCTTGGAATCATAGAATCACAGGGTTGAAAAGGACCGTGGATGTCTTCATCCCGAAACGGACAGGATGTGGCGAAATGTGGCCTCACTACTGCAGAGTACAGTACAGAAAGCGATACTACAGAGCAGTGCTGTCATTTTCTGTGATCCTGAGGCTATCCCCCTGTTAATGCAGCCTAGGACTGTGTTGGTTTTTTTGGCAGCTGCAGCACATGGCTGGCTCACATTGAAGTGGTTGTCCATTAAGACTTCAAGATCCCTCTTGTAGTTACTGCTGTTGAGCCAAGTACCACCTATTCTATATCTGAGCATTGGGTTTGTCTTGCCTAAGTGTAAAACTTTAATTTTCTCACCACTGAACTGCAGCTTGTTGTGAAGGCCCAGTGCCCAAGTCTGGTAAGATCCTTCCAAATCTTGAGTTTATGTCAGCAATTCCCCCCAGCTTGGTTTTTGTCCCCAAATGTGGTGAGTTCACCTTCTACCTTTTCATCTAAATCGCTTATAAAGATGCTGAGGAGGACTGGGCCCAAGAACCTGAGGTACACCATTGCATGCGTCCCTCCGTGTAAATGTAGTTCCATGAAGGATTATAATGATGAGTGCAGTTGGTCAGGCAATTGCAGATCCACCTGGGATGGTACTGTCTATCCCACACACTATCCCAAGAAGTAGGCTGTGGTCTACTTTATCAAATGTCTTCCTGAAGTCTTAAACAAACTATGTCCACAGCATTTCCCTGATCTATTAAATTAGTCATCATATCAAAGAAGGCAATAAGGTATGTTTGACATGATCTGTTTTTCATAAACCCATGCTGATGTCTAGTAATCACCTTGTTGACATCTAGATGTTCACAAACCCACTACTACTTGATTATTTTTTCAGGATTTGCACAGGTATTGATACCAAGCTTGAAACAGTATAAGTTTGAAATAGTATAGTAGAATACGATAGTGAAATAAGAATAAACTGATACACAAGTGAAAAACAATGTAATAAGATGCATTCAGATGGTTGTGTTCAAGTGGGAATAAATCTTTAAAGGCAAAGATGTTTTAGTCAGCTGGGATTTCTGAAGAGATGTATTACAAGAATGCCATCCAGTAGGGAAGAAAACCAGGAGGCATCTAAAGAAGTCAATGCAGTTAAACAGGTAGCTTACAAAGGAATCGAGATTCCAGAATGTTCCTGCTGTCAATAGAGAAAAAGTCTTTTAAAAAAACCTCAGCTCAGAAAGGAAGCAAGAGACCACAGTGACAAAATGCATCAAGAGGGGTTTCTCCAAAAATGTCAGCAAAAGGGCTGGTGGACTCCCAGCTTCTTTGCATCCCAAGGAATTGGTGGGTTCCGTGACGCAGACTGCAGACGAACACAACAGGGGTGGAGTGGACCCCCCCCCCCCGGCTAATTGGAAGGCCCTGAAAAGCTGGCAGGACCTCTGCCGGTGATCACTGTGTGTGTGTGTGTGTGTGTGTGAAGCCAATGGGCTGGAGGGTTCTAGAGATTTCTCACCAGGGAAAAAGGTAATTGCTGGCAGTAAAGCAGGTCTTTAATCAGCATCTCAAAGCAGTGCTGAGTGCCAAGAGTCAGCGTGGTTTTCAAAAAAAAAAAAAAACCCAGGACAGGTTAATCAAAGCTTACCTTTGTTTTTTGACAGGTTCACTGGCGGACAAGAGGAATGCTTTGATTATAATCTACCTTTGACAAGTTCCCCAAACATCCTCATTGCCAGACTATTAAAGGGTGACGCTACAGTCAGGTAGGTCCACAACTGGTTGGTTGACCACATTCAGAGAGTGAGATGAAGTTGGAAAGTGGTCACCTGTAGGTTTTCTCCTGGGGTAGTATTACGCAACGTTTTTATGAATGACCTAGATAATGGACTTCATGGGCTGCTTACTAGATTTGTGGATGACAGAACATCTGAGTTGGTTGCAGTCTAATCAGGACAAGTTGGAAAACGGAGATTACAGGAAGGTGTATTTTACTAGGGAAAAGTCTACGTTTATGATATGTAGGGAGAAAAAGATGTAGAAATTAAGATGGGGGATTATGACTTGGAAGCCTCAGATTGAAGGAGTAGTTATTGACAACCAGCTGAATATGAGCGTATCAGGCAGCTGATATGGAGACCTGAGAACACGTCTATGAAGGGAGGCTGGTTGGAACCAGGGACATTCAAGAGAAATGAAGACTGAGCAAAGATCTCGTATCCGAGGTACGTTAATGGTTTTTCACAGCCACAGAAACTAGGACAGACAAAATGAGTATATATTGCAAGCGCCCATATTTCATTTTATTGTAAGAAAAAAACCTATGTGGCAAGGTCTGTACAAGAATGGGACAGTCTGCCCACGGAGGCGCGAGTGTCCCTCCTTCAGCAGAGTTCTCTTGTGGGTGGTGGAATTGGTTTTCCAGGTCAGTTTGCGAAGGTTGGGCTTGTGTCCTTTCCAGCCGATTCGGTCTCCAGGCCTCAGAAAGGATCTGCCGGCCTAACCGTGGTTGGGCTCTCTTCTGCCTCAGGGAAGGCTGTGACAGACTGATAGAGCCGCCTCGGTCCGGTTGGGATGAGTTAGAGGCAAGGGCAATGAGGACACGCCACGCAAGAGAGCAAGAACCGGGGCATGTTTGTGCCACCGCTAGAAGGTTGTGAGAACGGCCCACTGAGAAAAGGCGTAACAAGCTGAAAGGCATGACAGGACCGGAGCTCTGCCCTGCTTCGAGCTGCTTGGCTGTCTTCGTGGCCATGACTATTTTAGAAGTTTATTCCACTTAGATTGGCTTGGAGCCAGGTTATCTGAAGAACCATCCTACCCATCCTAGCCGAGAGGCAGAGTATGTTAGGGAGGGTATGTTAAGGACCTCTTGTAAGGAGGTCCTTCTGGTTGGACCCAGAAGAGAGGCCTTCTCTGTGGTGGCCCCCTCTTTTGGAACGTCATCCCTGTGGAGATAAAATGGACCTCCTCCACCCTGACACTCTCTCGAAAGGCCTTGGAGACCCGGGATCAGGGTGACACCGAGGCCATCAAGCAGGTTTCTTGCTTGTTATCAGGAGGAAGGGGGGTCATTTCCCTTTGGGCTTTTATTTGGCTGGAATCATTGTGAGTGAGTTGAGCAGCCAGGCAAATGTTCTAAATCAATAGATTATGACCGAATAGGGAGAGTTGGAAGAGGAACGAGCAGTCCAACACCCAGATCCCACCGGTTCCTCCTGCTGCTGCTGCTGCTGCTGTTCTGAGGAGCAGCAGGTATTTTCCTGCAGCTGAAGGCCAGCAGCTCAACCCAATTTTCTGACCACACAGCCGTAGCCAGAGACAATCCCAGCAGTGGTAACCAGTTTATCAGGAGGGTGGAGGGCACCTCAGCTCAGCAGCGGGGAAGGCCCCCGGAGAAGGTAAACGTAGCCGCCGGGAGTCGTTTGGCTGAGGTTAAACCATGGAACAAACCGGCTTGCAGAAGATTCCCTTCCTCCGACCCAGACCCAGACCCAGGGGTGGTCTGGCCTGGACAGAACCGGGTCACGATCTCCAGCCTCCACCCCATACGGGATTTGGCACACGTGGACACACTCTGACACCTGAGCAAGTGGGAAGTCTCACGTGTAAAGGGTGATGTCAGGGCTCCAAGTAATAGTCCCAAAGCAAGGAAAACTCCGCGGAGATGAATCCCCCCAAAGAATAGCTTTATTAATTAATTATTAATTAAAAGAGAAAGTTTTCCCACAACCCCAAACAATCAGTGACATGGTCCAATCAAGACGCCGTCTGGTTGCCTGGTGACCCCACTCCTCCTGCCACGGTCCAGGTGTGAGAATGTCCTTGGTTCTCAAGGGAAAGTATTTCATTTTGGCTACACAACACCCCCCCCCATCTCTAATCCCCCCTCCCTTTCCCTCAGCCCCAGTGTGGCAACGCTGAAGCTCCAATATGGCCCGATCAGGTCAGCTTCAGGGCTGACAGGTGGAGCGGACAGTGCTAATTGCTTCTAAGTTTACAACTGAGATGTTAGCCTAGGATAATCTTCCTGAAATGTCCTACTTGCTTTTTAAAAAACTATGGAAGACCCCAAAAGAGCTTTGGTTTGTAGGGATTATATTTATTGATATTTACCATATTTTAAAAATGATGCATTCATGGAATGAGCCATGGTGGCGCAGTGGTTAGACTGCAGTACTGCAGGCTGACTCTGCATTCCACTTCCAGGCGTTTAATCCTGACCAGCTCAAGGCTGACTCAGCCTTCCGTCCTTCTGAGGTCAGTAAAACGAGGACCCGGATTGTTGGGGGCAAAGAGGCTGACTCTGTAAACTGCTTAGAGAGGGCTGGGAAGCACTATAAAGCGGTATATAACTCTAAGTGCTTTGTTTATTGAATCACGTAAACCAGCGGTCTGCAGACTCCTGGGGGGGGGGGGGCACAATATCCTCACAGGAGGTCTGCAAAGGCTTGAAGAAATGTAATGATTTAAATATTAAGCCTTGGGGGCCACAAAAGGCATTTAAGGGGGGGAGGGGTCCATGGTGAGGAAAAGGTTGAGAGCCACTGATTTGTTAACATAAATACAATATTTTCAAGAAAAAGCCCTGTACTTTTTAAACAGAGGAAAGTGATAATGAGAAGGGTGGCAAAGGGTCTTGGGGAACCCCCAGAGGCTGGACTGGCTAATTCCAGCTGGTGAGTGTGCCGGCTGGGCTCAAACCTCACGTCCACCTGTCCTCGCAAGGCCAGCAGTTCCTCTTGAATGGCGGGGACTCGGCCAAGGGCCGAGGCCGGTGGGAGGCAGGCGGCTCTGTTGCCCTGGGGGTCCTTTGAAACTGGGCTTGGTTTG